AATGTAGGTCCCAACATAGCAAGATGGGACTATCATGCCACTCATGTCAGTCAGGTAAATTGAAATCGAGAGCATTTAATAACAAACACAGAATATAAGATTAATAAAAACTTTAAAATTTTCAGTTACTTCTTTTGGCCACAATTGACAATGATCCAATATTGGGAACAACAGCTGAACGTTGGTGGGGTTACATGACAGGAAAGAGAGCTAGTCATAATTAATTGTTTTTTTTTCTTTTTTTTACCTCTGATACTAAAAGAAAAAGGTTTGTTTTTGAAGGTTGTGAAATAGGTTGAGAAATAACAAAAAAAAAATATAAGTGAATTTAAAATCACTTTATGTTATTTTCACTCGAGTTGTTGTTTTAATAATTTATATTTGTTGAAATGCTTTAAAAAATTGCCTGCCAAACATTAATTGAAACCTATTTATGAATTTATAAATATCATGAATATTTAGAGAAAAAAATTTGACAAAACACAATGATAAGAATAATTTTTTTAATTTTAGACAAACTATGAAAAAAGTAGTTTAATGCAAATGGAATTATATATACATCATTGTCTGAACATTTTTAGTATTTTATAGTAAAAAATTTAGCAAACAAATTTGTTAATTAATTAATTCAAGTAAAATTTTGATAATTTATAATAATGAATAAATTTTTACATTTTCTGACAATCAAATCTCAAAAGTATCAAAGTTTTTTTTTTTTTTTGTAATTTTTATGTGCAATTATGACGAGTAAAAAAAAAATTTTTTTTTTTTTTTTGTTTTTTTTCCAATACTAAATTTGTTTGATTCAGCAATGATTAATAATAATAATAATAATATTAATTTATTTGTTTTAAATTACAAAATTGTTTCTGTTGTTTTTTCATGTACAAAAATCTATTTATTGTTAGTTATTTGTTATTAATGATAAGAAACTAATTTAAAAAAAAAAAAAATTGGTGTTGTTAATTGTAAAGAAATTACTTATTAGTTAAATATTTAATTAATGACTTTAATTTAAACAAAAAAATTTTGTTCAATTCGAATTTTTTTTTTTTTTAAATCTTTAATCAACATTTTAAATAACTAAATTTTAGTTATCGTTAATGAAAAGAATAAATAAATCTTGTTAATGTTTTATCAATGTAAATGACAATAGCCTTAGAATTTTTGTAAACAATAAATTTTTGATTATTATTGACAATTGGTAAATGGTGTCTATCAATTTTTTTTTTTTTTTTAAATAAATTAATGTTCAAATGAAAAAAAAAAAAAAATATCAAATTTTTATATAAATATTTATTTAAAATTTTATAACATTTTCATAATTTTTATTGTAATATGTAAACAATAAAAGGAAGACAAATATTTATTATATATAGATATTCTAAATATCTATCGCTGATAAAAACTATTTTAATATTTGTTTGAAAAATTTCTTTTCTTTTATCCAATTTAGGATTTGAAATGAAAAATTTTTTTGAAATTTGAATAAAAATTAATTAGTACCTAAAAAATGTTGTATAATTAATATTTTTTTTTATAAATTTTTATTCCTTATTATTTACTTTTGTAAAATATTTAATTTTTTTTTAATACATAAAATTTTTTTTTTTAAAAAAAAAAAATTGTTGTCTTTTTTAATTTTTTTTTTTTTTTCCCTTTTTAATTTGATGTTTGTAGATTTAAGTTTATTATATAGAAAGATATAACATAACAAAAAATTGTATTGTAAAAAACAAAAGTGGCACACTTTTCGATACAAAAAAAATCTTTCTTAACAATTCATATTTTTTTTTTTTTTACATAGACATATAAAAATATTTAAAGGGCTTAAAATTTTTTTTTTTTTTTTTTAAAGCATTTATACCATTATGAGATTTATTAAAAATTTAAAAATAGAGTTTAAGTAATTTTTTGCCACAAAATTATAATATAACATACATTAAAATTATGTTGGTAGTTTTGCAGGATTTTCAATTGGTCTATAATTGTAACCATAAACTGATGATATAACTAAAGTTACTCCTATAATAAATTGAACACTCAGTACAAAATTGAAGAGGTAAATAGAAGCAATGCATGAAATTATAATTGCAAGTGAAGTAGCAAAACCTTTTAAAATATTATCTGCATATTTAACTACCATAGCAACTATCAAACCACCGACAGCTTGTAAAATTATCACATAAATAACGAATCCATCATACCCGAAAAAAAACCCATTTTTTCTCAATGCGGAATAATCTGATACGAATGTTGTGAATAATCCAAGAGGTATGGATAAAAAACTTAATTGAACATTTCTTATCCATACAGATATATCTGAGCTTTTTAATTTTTTTTCAAAAAAAATCCCTGCATAACCAGACAAACAGCAAGCACCTAATGCTGCTGCAAATCCCAAAAAGCGGTTTTGTTCAACTGGCAGTGTCGTTATTTTTGAGGGTTGAGTATCAGCCATTTGAACGCAAACTACTCCAAAAACCAATACCAATAATGAGATCCATTGAGTAACTAATAATTTTCTTTTCAGAATTAAAACAGAAAAAATTGCAGTCGTCAAAATTTTTAATTGGTATGTCACTTGATACGTAGCCGCATCTAAGTTCGAGGCTGACAAGTACAATAAATTGTTTTGTATTACGTATAATAAAGAAGGCACTCCCATCAACATAGTATCGTAAGGCTGTTTAACTATGTAAAGATACAATTTATTTATGGCTCCTCTAACATTGTAATTTTCTTCCGTATATACGACAAAAACACAAATGATTAATTTAACAATTTCACTCATAAGCACTGCGGTTGATGATAGAAACATGTCACCCGGTTTAGTCCTTGCATATCTCATACTTAATCCTAACATTGCATTTTGTATAGTAAGAACAACTAAACTAACATATTTCATATCATTCTTTTGTGTTGCCATGATTGAAAATAAAATTAAAACAAAATTAGTTAATTATTAATGATTGAAAGTTCATGCCCACGTCGTCACATTACGAAAATAAACTTTCTTACCCACCAATCCGTACGACTAAATTTTCGTGTAAATAGTAAAAGTTTATTCAATTTTAAATTTCAAAAAAAAAAAAAAAAATTATAAGCCTTTTTTTAATATTTATTTAAGCCTTATTATACTTGATTATTAAAAAAATTTATTTTTAACTTATTCTTTTATTTTTTTACACTGAATATAAAAAACAAGTACTACGACAAAAAAAATTAATTTATTTCTTAAAAAAAAAAAAATATTTAATAGTTCAACTGTCAAATGATAAAAGTCAAAATGATAAATTATTCACTAATTTTTATTAAACTGATTTAAAAAAAAAAAGAAACAAACATTTCACTTAATTTTTTATCTAAAAACTGACACAAATTTAATAAGTAAAGTCAAAAAATTATTAAAATTAAAAATTAAAAAATGTATAAAAATTAAAATATAAATAATCGTGGAGCTAGACTCCTTATCAAATTTCGGCATTTTGGAATAATTATTTCTAATTAAAATAGTTTTAAAGGTCGTTTAAAAATTTTTAGAAAGGAAGAAAAATAAAAGTTAAAGAGTCCAGTACTATTTTGTATAATTTGACTTTTATCCATTAATGTAAGTTACAAATTGACTGCGTTTAAAAGTGATTCTTGCAAATAAATAAAATTGTTTAAAAAATTGACGACTCTGTTTGAAAATGATTCTTGACAAAAAATAATGTTATTTTTCAATGTGTACATTTTATTTTTTAATTTAATAATTTTATTTGCAAGTCTATTTGATTTAAAGGTTTTTATATTATTACAACAAGTTAGTAAAAAAAAAAAAAAACTTAATTAAAATATGTAACTTACGAGTGTTTTAAAATTTTATAATTATAAAAAAAAAAAATTTTTGAATCACTAGTAAAATAAACACTAATAATATGTTTTATAAGCATTTCAGTTAAAAAATTATTTCCTTTATTTTTACTCATACTCATTAAAATGTTAAATAGAAAATTTAATTAGTCTCTAATAGTTTTTTCAATGCCATTCCTTTAAAATTTTGTTAAATCATGCATGTAGTTATGAATTATTAATTTGTCAATACTATTATTCGATACTTATTTGCATTAATGAACTTAAAGGTTTTTTTATTCTATAATATTGTCGAAATCATATTTATATTAAATTTTATTATTTCATTTTTGATTTATTAAAAAATAATTTTTATATAAAAATTTAACATTTAGTCTTTTTAAACATTGTTTCAGTTTTATTCAAAATTTAAAAATAAAAAAAATGCAGAGTAAAGAAAGAAATTCATCTATTTCATTAAATTCAGGGAATTTAGCTAAGCAAGAAATTCAAATTCCTGTTCCTTGGGGTCACATAAGTGGTAAGAATTTAAAAAAAAAACCTTATTACATTTTTAGTAAATGTATATATATTTTTTTGTTTTCATACAAAATATCAATAGATATCAAAACAATTAATAGAGTAACATTAGCGATGACTGTTCATTTAGAATCATTCAATCATTCAATCATGTAATTAATCATTTGAGCTGTCATTTATTCAGCTTATTCATAGACCAGTCTTTAATCCTCAGCATTTATCTGAATTCTAAGGGCTGAAAATAAAAATCAAACTGACATGTGGATTAATATGACTGTGTGGTAGAATATGAAATTCATCAATTATTGAAAACTACACAAACAAAAGCACAATTATCCCACGCTTAGAATGTAGAAGTTCACATTGCAATGCCCAAGCTCATTTGATGATTTTGCCAAATAGTAAGAACATAAATTGGCATAAAATTTTAGGATCAAATTGCGATGAAAGGGTTTTTAAAAAAAAAAAAAATTTTTATTTTTTTATTTTTAGGAGTATGGTGGGGTTCGAAAACGAAACAACCAGTGCTGGCACTGCATGGTTGGCAGGACAATGCAGGCACATGGGATAAATTATCTCCTTATCTCTTACCCGAAATATCCATTTTGGCAATCGATTTGCCCGGACATGGTTTATCATCTCATTATCCTCCTGGTCAAATGTATTATTTATTTTGGGATGGCGTTTATGTAGTAAGTGTACATATTAATTTCTCATTAATTATTATTGTATTCTTACAATGTTGTCAAATTTAATAATGTCATTTCTTTTAGGTTAGAAGAATAGTTAATTATTTCAAATGGCAAAAAGTTACCATATTAGGTCATTCCCTCGGTGGTGCCATAGGATTTTTATATGCTGGATGTTTTCCAAATGATATTGATAAATTGATATCGATTGACATTGTCAGTCCCACAATATTAGAACCTCCATATCAGGTTAATAAAGCCGGTGAAAATATAGATAAAATTTTAAAGTATGAAAAATTGACAGAAGATAACATTCCTTGTTATGATTACGAAGTAAGAATCCAAAAAAAGGAAACGGAAACTTTTTCAAATTTTAAATTTACCTCATATTAAAAAAAAATAACAAAATTTTATTATTATTATTATTAGGAAATGATTAACATTGTGGAAAATGCTTACAAAGGTTCTGTGACAAGAGATTCATGTAAAATTTTAATGAAAAGAGGAATGAGTCCTTCTCCGGGAGGTGACGGTTATTATTTTGCAAGAGATGTTAGATTAAAGGTTTTTCTTTCTTTTTTTTTTCAAAATGAATTTTTTTTTTTCAATAAAATTTGGTATAATTTAAAAAAATTCAATTTGTTAATTTTCAGGCAGCAGGATTAGGATTTTTATCCTTTGAATTGATCATGGAATTTGCTCGTAACATAAAATGTTTCGTCCTTAACATAAAAGGTAAACCTGGAATGTCTTTTCAAAAACCGCAATATTATCATACTGTTCTTGATGAATTAAAAAAAAATACATCCGTAAGTTTATTATTATTATTAACTTTTTCTTTTTTTTTTCTATTAAATTAAAGCCATTACATAAGTTAAAAACATTAAAATTTATTTTACAATAACAAGCAATTAAATATATTTATTCATTTGGAAAAATAATATTAATAATTAATTATTTGGTAACTAACGTTTTTCTTTTCCTACATAAAAGTATCACTATGGTACCTACTTTTGTTACTAGTACCTGATTTTTAATTTTCTTTCAGGTTGAATTTCACGAAGTTAACGGAACTCATCATTTACATCTTAACAATCCTGAGAGAATCAAGGATATCGTAAAAACTTTTCTCCTTCGTGATGTTTCGAATGAGAGTAGAAGTAATTTTCCAACCGTCGATGATGTTGACTGTGTGATATAAATTGTCTTGTATTTTTTGGATAATACTAATTATAAACAAAACGAATTAATTATTATTATTATTTATTGATTATTTTTATTATATTAAATTTATTTTTAAAAAAATAATATTTTTAAAAAAAAATTTACTTAATATTTTAAAAAAAAAAAAATTAATTAATTATTTTTTTTTTTCAAACTGTGATAAATGATTAATTTATCTATGGCGGCGTTATGTAAGGAGTTGAGAATTTTTTTTTTTTTTTTAAATTAAATTGCAATTTCTGACGGATTATTTTATTTTAAAATATTGGAATTGATTTAAGTATCAAATTCAATCAAATTTTAATGAAAATTAAATTTCGTTGGGGGATGTTATGTAAAAAGTCCGGTGAAATTCTAGAAATTACGTACTTGGAACTTCTTATTTAAATTGATCCTATTGATATTATTAATTTTAATTTATTTAGAAATTTTTAAAAGTCTTAAGTCAAATGTTCGTATATTTAGATTATTAATGATAATTCAAGTGCTTTAATTTTAATTAGTTATCATGTAAAAAAAATTAAAGATGATAAAAATTACATATTTTATATGTAATCCATAATTTATTTTAATTTTTTTTGATTAAACATTTTTTAAATTATTTAATAATTTTATCTTATTTTTTTTTTTTTTAAATTTCTCATATTTGAGATTTTAATAAATAAATAAAATAAATAAATAAAAAAATTCACGAAGAAGAAAAAAAAAAAATTTTTTTTTTTAAATTATTTTTAAGGTTGTGAAAAAAATTTTTTAACTTTAATCCAATCACTTAAAAATATTATTATTATTATTATTTTGTTGTTATTGTTAATTAAAGTTAAATTTAAATTATAATTTTAAATGATTTTGTTTTGTTTTGTTTTGTTTTTTTTTTTCAATTTATTAAAAACGCATAAAAAAAAAATCTTGCCTCCTTTAAAAAAAAAAAAAAAAAAAAATTAAATAAATAAAATTTATTTATATTAATTTATTGGCATTATTTTTTTTTAAATTTAATTAATTTTCTATATACGTGATTGTAAATTAATTCGCAATTTTTTTTTTTTTTTTTTCACACATTTTTAAAATATTCAGGCTTATAGTAATTAATTTACCTGTCACCGACTTCCGCCATTTTTTAAACATTCAACATTTTCAATATCAGAATTTGTTACATTTGTAAAATCTAAACTTTTTAAATTTGGCAAAACTGATATTATCCTTTGTCTGTAACCTTTAACCTCTTCTATTGGATTTCCATGAAGTGTCAAACTGTATAATTTATCAAGTCCTCTAAAAAATGAAAATTTTTTAATTTAAAAGTTTTCTTTAGAAACCTACTGCGAATGTTAAGATACAGGCGGGCTTACTGTAAATGATAAAGAACCGGAGTAAATTGAGTAAAATGATTTCCATGTAAATAAAGTATTTTTAAACTTCTAAGCTCTGAAAATTCCGGATGAATATACGTTAATTTATTAAATGATAAATCGATCCATGTTAAATTTTCAGGTATTTCAAAAACCTATAACAAAATTACTAAACGTTAATTTTTTTTAATAATAATAATAATTTTGAAGTGGATTTTTTTTTTTATTAACCTGAAAAACCATATCTCTGATACCCTGAACGCTAACAATATTATTATTATTAAGTCTAAAAGAACTACACCAAAATCTTCCAGCAGGTGATCTTTTGTAAGGTTTCAAACCATTTCTAGGTCTGGTTTGTTGAATGTCAGACACGTAGATCAAACCCCTGAACGAATAATCTAATTGTTGAGAACTCATTTCAATTAAAATTTTCAA